AGTGCAGCTGGAGTCGGATCCCCAGCCCTGTTGGGTGCTGTGCCAGGCTGTGCTGCTTCCCCTGGGGGATCTGAGGACTGGGCTTCATCCCAGCTCTGCACTAAAGTGTGAGCTGTTGTTAAAAACCTAAAAACCGGGGCTGCTCTCACTTGAAGTTGTGAACTTGCCCTTCAAGGTGCCCGTGTGATGCTCCCCAGGGGTTGTCTGGCTGCAGAGGAGGTTGGATGCCAATGCCAGATTTTTTTGGATGGTTGAATGGCCTCCAGTCTGCTTTTTTGTTGAGTGAAGGTTCTGCTCCCTTCCAGCTTGTGCTTTGCCAAGTCCATTATCCACCTTGGATGGCAGTTTGCAAACTGCAGCCACCCGTAATCCCAAGATGTTGCTGCTGGATTTTTCCAGGTTCTCATCACTGGTGAGCACTTAGAGAACATCTGCAAACAGCAGGAGGGGCTGGCACAGTGTGTTCCACTGGCAGATGACATCTGTAACACTGGCACATCCAGCTGGCACAGTAGAGCTGCGCTGAGCTCCTGGACAGCATCCAGAGAGGGGAGTTTGGAGAGATCACCTCTAAAATTCAGCCAGGGTACCACAAGGAGAAAGGAAATCCTGAAGAGAGCTGGCCTGCAGCAAGGTAGGATAAACAGATTTCAAATAAACGAGGTGTTTTTCTCCTCCAGTGCAATGGAAAGGTGCTGCAGGGAGCTGCTGCAGTTGGGTCTCTTGCTGGCCTCCAGTGCTTCTGCAGTAAATGTTTGGTCTGTGTTGTTAGAGGAGTGCTGTGAATCTTGTTATGCACCTCAGAACCGAAATTTGCAGTGAAGAGTCCCTGATTTCCTCCACATTCAAAGATTAATTTGGTTGCACGCTGTGCTTTTAGATCTCTGTGGTTGTGGGGATAATTCTGTAACGGGGAAGGGAATGGGCATGAAATGGGAAACTCGTGTTGAAAAAACCCAGTGTGCTCCTTTATAGCCCAAATTCCTGTTTGCTGCAGCCATGGGTGCGTGGAGGCCAGGGGATGCTGACCTCAGGAGAGACTAGGGCTGGTTTCAACATCTCATAGCTTAAATTATTTGACTTTGTGTTTCTTATCAAATTCGTAACAGCTGTAGATGGGTGTCATATTCAGGGTTTTTCTTTAATATATCTGAATATTCTTTATATTCTATATAAATTATATAGATATATAAAGATATATTATATATATCTTTAATATTCTTTAATATATCTGAAATCTCCCTTCTTGTCACATCCCCTTCCATTCTGTCCTTGTGTGAGAATATCCTGAGGTGTGCAAAGGATGGCCAGCACTCTGTGCCTGGGTGGCTGGAGAGCTGTGATTTATGGTTGCTGACAGTGAATGCTTTGCCCCACCATGGAGCTGTGTCAGGAGCTGCTCAGGCCAGGCAGCTCCTGTTTTCTGTGGCTCTCAATCTCAGAGGAGCCAGATGCTGAGAGAAACAGCTCTGTGCTCGCTGGGCTGCCCAAGCACTGGGTGATCCTCCCAGCTGGACTCTGCTCCAGGAGCTGCTGCTGACCAAACATTCTGTGTGGTCACTACCCTAGCCTCAGATTGGCTTTGTGAGTTGTAAAATTGGTGGTTTTTCCTTTGTGTTCTTCTTCCTGCCATCCTTGGATGGTGGTTTCTTCCATGAGGTGGATGGATCAGGAATCTGCTGTCTGCGATGGCTGAAAATCCAGTTTAACTCCTACTCCCTCAAGGTAACGTCACAGGTTTTAGAAATGGATTTTATACAAGGGAGCTCTGAATCTTGTGGTGGATTTCTCTGAGGTTTGTCATGCTGAAAGCTACCATGGCACCATATCCACATGGTCCATTTGGGGCCAATTCCTGTGTTTCTGGGAGGAGCAAGGCAAAGGTCTCATGTGAGCAGGGCAGGTACTGATGGCACAACTCAGAGCTGAGCTGCTGCAGGGACTGGGCTGATCTTAGGGGACCTCCTAGAGCTCTTTTACTCTGCAATTCTACTCTTATGAAACCAAAAATCCTCATAAAATAACTTTTAGTCATTTCTCTGTGGGGAAAATGTACAGCAGCAGGTGGTCACAGAGAGCCGAGTTAAATATCATGGATTTTGCAGAGAAGACAATGAGATTTTAATGTTGTTTCCTGGTTATTATTTTTATGATTTAGATTTCATATTGAATAAAGGAAAATTGTGGAGGAAGATAAGGATGCAGACCGCCAAGGATGTGGTAAACATCTAGAAGAATTTATTTTATCTAACGATTTGAAAATTATTTCATGCACTAAAAAGGCAAAGGAAAAACAAGTTAGAGACAAAGGCAATAGAGCATTTACTACAGAAATCTTTGTGCAATATATCTACAGGCACAAATTTCAATGACCTTAAGGTAGGAAAAGAATTTACTGGTGTTTTTAATCCTATGTAACCTTCTGCCTCTGAGGATGGCACTATTTAAAAAGTCCAAAATTTCACATTAGAAAATTTGTGTGTCTGTCACAAATATATTTTGTGACACAAAGCATGCTCGGTTTCCTTTTTCCCTTTTTAACTCTCAGGGCACTGAGGGAAAGCTTTTGTCCCTTGCAGTATTTGTTTCAGGAAAAGTTAAATAAAGGCTGTGTAAGCAGAAGGAAAATGGAAAAGCAAATCAAGCTCAGCTCTCCTCACAGCGAGGATGCTCAGAAAAGGAACAACCCTCAGCCCTTGTGCTCCTGTGTTGTCTGGAGCCAGGGATGCTCAATCGTGTCCTTGTCCCTTGGAAGGCCAGGCAGAGGGGTGGCCTGGCAGAAATGTGACCCAAACAGGCTCCAAATCTCTAATTGGCATCTCCTGGAGGCATCACCTCATCCCGTAAAACCCTGCTCGTGGTGCCCTGCCTCCGTGGGCCTGCGCGTGGAGCGAGGCCGGCTGGGCCCTGCCGGGGAAGAGCAGCCACAAATCTCTGCAGAGACATCCTAAATATAGAAATGCCTTCCCTGCAGCTGGGAGAGGCGCAGCAGGGTTGTGTAGGAGCAAATGCAAGGCGTCAGTGGAAGCGACAGCGGGAAGCAGAGGGCCTGACCTGCCGCGGCTGGAAATTCATCACGGCCTGACGGCGCCTCCGCTTTCATTTCTGGTGGCTGCCAGCCCTGGCCTGGGTGGGGAAATGGTGCTCGGCATCAGAGGGGCTGGGCTGAGCCCACACGAGCTGCAGGCTCAGCACAGCAGGGCTGCTGTCACTTGCACATGGAAACTTGGCTCCAGGAGGGGAGGGCAGGTCCTGCCCGCTCCAGGTGAGCTGCACCTGAGCACCTCTGCTTGAGGAGTGAAAGCAGAGGGTGATGGAACACTCCAATCTGCTTCCATGACAGCTGGAATATTCCTAGTGACATCCCCTAGGGATAAAACACATCCCAGCTCTGCCTTTGAGACTCTGATCAGCAGGAGGCTGAGCTCAGAGGCTTTGTCTGCTGTAACTCACACCAGCGCAGGTCTCTGTCCCCAGCAGTGTCTGTGAGCAGAGGCAGGACTGTGCATGGAGATGAATCCTGATCCATGTGTGTTTCTGACCTCTGCACCTGCAGGACTTTGTTTGAGGTGTTTGGGCTCCGTTGGACTCAGTGATCTTGAAGATCTCTTCCAACCTCGTGATTCTTCCTCAGCAAAGTTGAGACCTGTGGTGGTCACTGAGAGATGTGTGAGCTCTCTGTCCTTTCAAAAGGAAAGCAGAGAGAGGGGTGGTTGAGCAGGGCCAGGCTCCAGCTGGGGATCCTGAGGGTGTCCAGCAGCTTGGCTCTCCTCAGCCTGCCCGGGCCCAGGTCAGGTGCCAGCATCTGCAGCATTTGAGTTTTCATCAACTGCTCTTAAGTACTCTCAGCTTAGACAGTTTCTGGGGAGGAGCCATTTGGACAGCAGTAATCTGGAAGCAGAAGTTTGCAGTTCTCATCTCTGAAAGATGATGCCAGGAATGCCCAAAGCCACCTCATTAAATTTTCGTGTTACTGATGGGCCCTCAGAGGCCCGTTCTTTATAAGCAGCTGGTGGTTCCCAAAATCAGCTGGAAGACTTGGCCAAGTTCGATTGCTTGGCTTTGAGGATATTTAGATCAGACTGATGCTCTTTTTGTTGCAATCCAATGCTTTTGACTTCTCTTGGATTCTTCTTTACTTTCTGCTATTAATTTACATTTCAGCAATTGTAGCCAGCATCCCTGCGTGCCTGTGGCTGGCACAGGAGGCTCTGTGTGTGTCAGCCCTGCACTGGTGGCTGGGTAGTTCCCCACAAATAACTCCAGATTCCCAGACTAATTTGGGTGGGAAGGGACATTAAGGATCCATGGCAGGGACACCTCCCACTGTCCCAGGCTGCTCCCAATGTCCAGCCTGGCCTTGGGCACTGCCAGGGATCCAGGGGCTGCTCTGGGCACCTGTGCCAGGGCCTGCCCACCCTGCCAGGAACAATTCATTTTTAGAATCCAGTCTAAACTTTCTCTCTTTCAGTTTAAAGCCATAAACTCCTTTTCTTCTGTTTCTTTCCCATGCCATGTTTCAAAGGATAATCTAAAGCAGCAAAGGTTTTTCATTTGCATTCTGAATATTTGTGGGAGTGCTTGTTTTCCCAGAACACAGTGTCCCACTGGAAGCAGCACAGGTGTCTGAGGAGAACAGAGAAACCCACGTTGAGTACAGTTAGTCCAAGGAGAAGAAGAAACTGTTGCTTCTGCATAATTCCATTATTCACTGTGCTGAATTATGCTTCATTATGAGAGGCTGCCCAGCATCTCTGGAGGTGTAATGGTATTATCAGCCTCAAGGAACTATAGGAATAATAGCTTACCTTACATTTATATAATGCTTTTCATTTGCAAATGCTTTGCAAACATCAGTTCCTCTTCTCCCGACATCTGGAATGCAGATAAAGGTTATTGGATCTATAAAGCAGCGGAGGAAGAAAGAAGGAAATGTTGGGCTTTATTTAATATTAAATATAATGTGCACAATCTCAAATCTGCTCAGACCTATTCATGTCCAAGATCAGGTTTTATGTCACAGTGGAAGGCTGAGATCAATGATGATACAACAGCAGAGTTCCAAAAGTGCCCCAGTGTCTGTGGAATCACATGGAACTTCTCCCACCAGTGCACAAATCCCTTTGAAAAAGAGGATGTAACTATTGCTGCAGCTGTTAAAAATTTATGTATAGCCTTCCCATTAGCCACATTCCATTTGGAATTCCAGAGGTAAACTGGAATTCTGAGGAGGAAACTCTGGCAGTGCAGTGCTTGCAGGTGTAGCTGTAAATTCAGCTTGACCTGGTGTTTGAACCACAAATTCTGGGGCCCCTCTCCCTCCCAGATGTGCTGAGTGATCCCTGGGAAGCTGCTGCTCATTCCCAGGGAGCAGGGCAGGACCTCCTCAGCAGTGCTGCAGGAGTGATTTGAAGGGTTCACACCCTCTCCTGTAATCCTGTCTGGCCCAAAACCACTCCTGGGAGGGCTGGGGGCTGTGCTGGGTCACGGAGCTCTGGAATTGCAAAGGTCTGATCCATAAAATGTTTTCAGCACTTCCCAAGGGGAGAACAGGGCTCGGGGCTGGGGTGTCCAGTGCCCAGCCACATTTCTGAGCAGCTCCCACAGTGGAGAGAAGAAGGTTTTCATCAAGTTAAATTCCAAAATATTACAAATGAGTAACATCCCTATTTTATGAGCTGGCTTCTGGGCACTTGGGAATTTCTGTATTATGAAAAAGCCACTTCTGTGATATAGATATTTATGTTTATATGTGTGGTGTGCCCATCACAAGGTCCTGAAGTGACAGGACAAAGAGGAATGGCCTGAAGCTGATGGAGGCAGATTTAGATTTTGTTTTCTTTTCTGTTTCACTGAGAGTTGGTGACTTTTCCTTGTTTAAGCACAAAAGAGGAGGGGACTTTTCTCAGCACTTTGTAAAGTAAACTTTAAACATTTTCTTTAGTTCTTTATGGTATTTTTTTTTTGGAGTTGCCTGGTGAAAAGATGCAAATGTGGCACATATAAAAGATCTTCCATTTTAATTTAATTGCTGAACATTTTCTCTACAGTGCAGCCATTATCTGTTTGGCTTTTATTACCTTCTCCAGTAACTTCCACCAGTGAGTCAGCGAGTCCATAACAGCAGCAGGAATTATATCCCTGCTTGTCCCCTGGGTGTGCTCCTGGATCTGTGCTCAGCTTGTCCATGGAGCTGATGGAGAGCTTTAAGCACCACAAAAGGGGCTGTTAGGAAAAGGATTTTTTTTTTATTATTATTATTATTTTAAAGAAAATATAAAACTCTATCAGGCATTCTGAAATTGGGAGTGAAGAGTTGGCCGTCTCTACAGAATAAAAATTCCTCCAGTTTCACTGAGGGTTCCTGGCTGGGGGAAGCAGGAGTGAAATGCCTGAATTCTGCACCCAGCTGGGCAATCCAGGGATTTAAATATCAGATTTAAACATCACAGAATATCCTGAGCTGGGAGTGACCCACAGGGATCATCCAGTTCCCACTCCTGGCTGTGCACAGCACACCCCAAGCATTTGCAGCTCAAATCCACTGACATCAGCCATGAACAACTGTCTCCATCAGATGTTCGCTGGAAAAGAAATATGCTCAAAGGAAATGAAAAGAAATTCCTTTTTTGGAGCAATATTTGGCTTTGATGCTCTTTATCTCAAAGCCTGAGCTTTGTTTCAGCCACTAAGAGAGATGACTTTGCTGAAACATCACAGCAGCTGAGACTGTTCTTCACAAACCAGTGCAGAGAGCCCTGTTGTCCTCCTGGTTTTACCTAATTAATTATTAATAGAAATATTCATGCTTTTACAGGTACAGAACAGGACAATTTGAATCAAGAAATCTCTCTCCTTTCTTGCCTTGGAGCTGGCTGTGTCAATCTTCAGTTTTCAAGGGGGAAAAATCCCAGCCTGTGGAATTTGTGGCTTTCTAAACCATTCCTTTGTGCGGTGACTTCACATCAGAGCAGATCCTGCTTCTCCAGAGGGGTGGGAGCAGGGATTGCTGGTCCACAGGAAATTTTGGGTGAGTACCCAGTGACACCCAGCCCTGTGTGGGCTGGAGTGAGTCTTTGCACAATTTCCTTGACAAAGTGTTGTGTTTTGGGGGAGTAAGGGATGTCTGGGGTTATAATATTATATTTAATATTTAGGCCAGGCTAGATGGGGCTTGGAACAACCTGGTCTAGTGGAAGATGTCCCTGCCCATGGCAGAGGCTGGAATTAGAGGCTCTTTGAAGTCCCTTCCAGCCCAAACCATTCTGTGATTAATTTATTCCATAATTTTCCTGTTTGCTCTTCCCATCTTCCCTTATTAAGGGAGACCAATATAAACCCCAGTGAATTCCAGTAATAATTCCCAGTTTTGTGGTGGATTTATTTGTCTGCCCTGCCCCTGTGCAGTCACCAAGTGCTTGGCACTACTTGGCCTTCAGGAGGTGCCCTTGGTGGCAAATGAATGCCCAGTAACTCCTGGTTGGAGCAATGTGGGGTTTGGTGGTTGCCCAACCTCAAACATGCGTCCTTTGATCCCATAAGGAAGTCTCTGGTGAATAAAGTGGTTTTTGGGGTTTGCCTCCTGTGGTGTTGGAATCCCCAGCTGGATTTGGGATGGTTTGGGAGGGGTTCTTCCAGACAGGGCTGAGTTCACACAGAGTTTTTCTGTGGCTCCAACAGGTTATGGGAGCTCTTCAACCAAACCCCAGTGACTCGCACAGCCTTGCAAGGGTTCAGTGAATTACAGCAGCACTGGGAGGAAACTCTGACTGTGGGCTTTTATACCTGATTTATAGCCCTCCTCAGGAGAGCACAGTGAGGACAATGACTTTCACATGCTGAGTCAAATAAGAAACAGCCCAAACTTTGAATTGTTTTGCTCTTTGACTACTCCAGAAAATCACAGCACATAGTTTGGACCTGTCTGGGGCTCATATATCTTATCTGATGGATGTTTTCTGGTGAGAAATGATGTTCTGATTCAATAATGACTGAAAATTCTGGGCTGAGCCCACCCTGAGCACTTGCTCTCTGTAGGGTCATGTTTTGATTTGCTTTCTGAAGCTGAAGCTGCTCCCAGTGGTGACGTCTCCTGGCTCCAGCAGCATCCCTGGTCCCCAGGTGCTTCCCCTGACCTTCCAAATGTTTTATGGAATATAAAGTATCTTTCTATAAAGCAGAGCTGTTTTAGAAGGTTTATTAACATTTTATATAGTGTACAATGTACTAAAGTAACGGTCCAATTATTTATGTGACAAGATGTCCCTGAAAATGTTCATATCTGTGCTGTTTTAATAAGGCACTAAAAAAATACCATAACCCTCTGCTGCTGAAGCTTCTCTGGGTAACAGCCCTCAATTATATCCCTGCTGCACTCTCATTTAATACCTGTATTAAATCTGTTTTGTTAAGGTTTTAAGAAATCATCTTAATGCAATTAAATAGTGCCATTAAATCACAGGGGAATTTTGGTTTTACCCCTCTGCCAGCGAGAAGTGCAGCAGCAGAGCAGTGAGTGACAGGGATGTGCTGCTGCCAGCACTCAGTGTTTAACACCTCTGACAAGGGATTTATCCAGGGGAATGAGGAAATTCAGCATGAGGGGCATGAGAGTCTCAAATTGGTGCAGTCCCCAGCCCTGGGGGTCCAAGGAATGCCTGGGGATGGCACTGGGTGCTCTGGGCTGTGACTCCGTGGTCTCCAGCATCTCAATGATCCTGGCACCATATTCAGGCCATTTTCACTACAAACAGGGTCAGGTGATATCAAAGGTCAGCTTTTTGGCCTGCTGGTCACATTACATTGCAAAAATATCACGATTGTTTTTTTAAAGTCTTTTTCCAAGCATCAATTTGGAAGTTGTGTTATGAGGAACATTTTTCCTCAGGCAGTAATGGGTATGTTTGTTTATTTTATGCATAGTTAAGTACCTTCCACCTGGCCAGAGGAGATAAATGCAGGTGTTTTTGTCTGAAAGTCTGAACAAATTAACCATGAGAAAAGGCACGTGGAAAACTGAGGAAATAGCTTTAAGTTTGTCCTTATAAATGCAGGAAACTGTGAAGGTGCACTTGTTTAACTGTGAGGAGATGAATAAATAAATAAAATGTAGTGGCTACTGCTGGTGGACAATGAAATGATTTTGAAATGCTCTGAGATTCCTTTGGAGTTCCAGCTTTAAAAATAAAGTGAGGAAAACTTTTTTTTTTTTTTTTTATATTGTGGGGGAAAAGAGCCAGGAAGAAGCAATAGCTATTAAGTGCTGTCAGATAACTGGTGGGTTTGTGTTCAGGAATCAATCTGGATATCTGAGACAAAAATGAGCTCTGAAGTTATTCTCATTAATGGATATTGGCAAAATCTGCAGCAGTTTTATATCACTGCTAAAGGCAGAGTAAATGAAACACCTCCAGCTCAATTAGCTATGAAAGGAGTCTCCTGCCCTGGCAGGATGAGCTGGCTCTGAGCAAAGCTTTTGCAAAGTCAGGTTGGCCTCTTGCCTTTGGATTTTGGCGTTGTCCCACCGGGCAGAGTGACCTGGCAGAGCCTCTGATCCATCTGGGAAGGGCTGGGACTAAAAGTGAGGAAAAAGGAGGGAAGTGAGAGAGAATTGTGACAGTCTGCTGACCTCAGGGAAGGAGATTGGCATTTCTCTGTCTGTGGGAAGGGAAGAATCGCTCTCAGACTGGGTTGGGTCGGGTTGGACATTAAGGATCATCACCCAGCCATGGCAGGGACACCTCCCACTGTCCCAGGAGCTCCAGCCCCAATGTCCAGCCTGGCCTTGGGCACTGCCAGGGATCCAGGGGCAGCCCCAGCTGCTCTGGGAACCTGTGCCAGTGCCTGCCCACCCTGCCAGGGAACAATTCCTGCCCAAAATCCCATCCAGCCCTGCCCTCTGGCAGTGGGAAGCAGTCCTCAGGAAATCCGAGGATGGGGCTGACAAATGTGGGAGATGGGAAGAGTTTTCCCTGCTCACTCCCCATGGTCTGAGACACGTCCCAGGAGCAGGAGGGCAGCACAGATCTGGAAGGGGCTCTCCACCCATCCCAAGGAGGTTTTCACCTCGTGGACAGGAGGCCTCTCTATGGTGTGGGAGCATGGGGGATGCTCATCCCTGCCTGCCCAGGCCAGAAAGTGAAGCAGGAGCTGATGCCTGGAGAGGCTCCTGGAGCAGAGCACATTAAAGGAATAAATCAGGGTTTATTTTTATTAAAACCCTTCCAAGGATCACCTTGGGCAGTGCAAGGGCCCGGCCCTGGCTGCAGCCAGGATGGGCCCTGGGTCAGGAGTTTCACACTTGGATCAGTTTTGGTCCATTTCCACCTCGGGGTGAATTGTGCAATTCCAGCTGCAGGTGATGCAGTCCCATCCTCCCAGGTTGCTCCATCAATTCCCTGCTGGTTGTGCTTTTTGGGCCTGGAGCTGCAGCGCTGCCCTCGGTTCTGGGGCTGGGAAAGGATTGTTGTGTGTGCCAGAGCTGGGAGAGCTCGCTGACACTTTGTGTGGAACTCAGAAAATCTGCAAAACATGAAAGCCAAACCTTAAGGCATCATTTCCCCCTCCAAGCAGACTCCTGTTGCAGGACTTTGGTCCCCCCCTGGGTGCTCCTTTTAATGCTGGTTGGTCCCATCCCACAGCAAAGAGTTCCTACAAAAGCTCATTTAGCACATATGGCTAATTACCCTCACCCTGCATTTACTCTTTGCTGCCATTAGCCAGCCTGCCTAGGAAAGAGGAAAATCCAAGTCCATCTCACCCTTCTGTGGCTGTACATAAGCACTGGAATTAACTGCAGACAGGAGTTTTAGTGTCTGATTCAAATCACTTTTAAAATTTCATGAGCTCACAGCTGTGCCACCCATGTGCTTCAGCACTTGTCCTTTCCACAAGTTATTTTTGTCCTCGGAGTCTGGTCAGGGAACAGCTGCAGGAGTGGTATTTCTGCACTGAAATAGCTGAAAGCTGAATTTTTAGTGATATTTAACTGAGAATATTGGGGAGACTGACCCACACTTCTGAAGGTTTCGCTGTTTAAGGAAGAACTACTAAATTTAGGATTGCACAGTAAATCCTTCTTTTTCTTCTGGAGCCTTGTGGTTATATCACAATTTATTCTGGTTTGGGGGATGAAAATCTGATCCTGAAGGGTGCAGCTTGTTGTAAACAAATACATTTATGGTGGTTAATGTGAGTATCTGAGGTAAGTCCATAATTCTGGTTGTTATGGAAAAGAAGTATTTAAATGAGACAGGTAGAAGGAGAAATTCTAAATATAATCAGTTAAGAAAAAGTAAAGGCAGGAAAGGGAGTTAGTATGAAATCCTGGTTGGTCTAAATGCAATAAATCTTATTGTGAGGGGAAAAGCTGATTCTCTGAACGTGGGGCATGAACTAAAGCAGCTGAGTAAGAACTAAATCAGAACCCATTTTCCTGCTCGTAGATTGAGTAAATTCCACAGTGTTTTCTCCTTGTGGAAGCACAGGAACATCTCTGGGTGCCTGACACACACAAGCAATACATGACCAGCGATATCTGGGGCAGAACATCAGGATTTCTGAAGCTAAAATGGATTTTTCTTTGGTGATCCAAGGCACTGCTGGTGTTAGAATAATTAAAGGACGCTCCTGTGAGTTGCCAATTAACTTAAATTTACCAAAGGGGGGAAAAAAAAAAAAAGTGATGAAGTTATGGGAAGGGATTTTGCAGATGGAAGCAACACTGTGGGTGTAAAACATCTCAGCAGGGCAGCTGTGGGAGCTGAAGCCTTGGGTGCCTTTGGAACAATCTGCAAGTTGAGGTTTAATCCAGTTTTGGAGAAGCGTCAGGTTGGCTGTGAGTTTGTGACCTTCACCTGCTGCTTTTGCCTCTACCTCAAACCAAATGCTCTGATTTCTGCAGCTTTACAGTAAATCAGCACAACTGCAGATGTAAATCAATGTCACTGCTAATTCTCTAATGTTATCTGCTTGCATATAAGAATAGAATATTTTGAATGGAGTATTTTGACAGTGGAATTTGTAGAAATTTCTCTTGTAAATTATTATCCACCTGACTGCTTCACATAGCAATAAATTTATTTTATATATTATTTTATATATTATTACTGGATTATTGATGATATTCTTCCCTTTATTTCAACCCTGACATTGACCATAAAGAAAAGTCCAAATCAATGATTTGAAATGACTCTGAAATGCCTGTAGTGTGTTTGTGAGGATGTGTCTGAGACCCTTTTTGTGGGCTTTAATGAGATATCCTAACCACTAATGAAGTGTGTTCTTCCAGAAGATATCACAGCAAAAAAAGCAGCTCGTTGTGGTAAATACCATCCCTGGCAAAACACTGGAAAGCTTAATGTATCTGAAAGTGTGCAGCAATTTAAAATCAAGTTAGGAGTTAATCAAATAACATCAGCTTTGTCTCATTTCAGTGGTGGAACAAGCACTAAATTGTGGATTTTAAACAAACACGAGCAGGTAATGCCCAGCCTGGACGTGTGTTCCTTGGCTCCATAAAACTTGCATATTTTCCACCTGGATATTGTTTTTATTGGAGCTCTCCCAGTTGGAGTTTGCTGGCAGCAGAAGGGGGGCTGATTGATTTTTATGCTAATCCTAGGTGAAAAGCAGCTGTTGTAGCTGGGTTTGCACTGGGTTAATCCAGCTCATCAGGGCTGTAAACAGGCAGATAAAGGCAGGGGATTTCAGCCTGTAAAGTGCTTAATCCCTGCAATCGGGGGCTTCCCCTGCTTCTCACCTGAGCAGGGATTCTCCTGCTCCCTGGCCCTGCTGATGGAGGATGGGGACAAGGATGGAAAGGATTTCCCAGCCCAGCTCTTCCCAAGGCAGAGCTTGCTCCATGCAGTCATAAATATTCCACATGATTTGTGTTTAAATCTTCAGTGCTGGACAGCTCTGTACATTTAATACTGAACTCCTGATTTTCCAGGTAGTTTCCTAAACTGCACAGTAGCTTTATGTGTCAGCCCAGTTCTCCCACACTGGGTCTAAGTTTATCCAGTTAATTTGTTCAGAGCCAAATGTTTCACGTCCAGAGGAGCCTTGTTATTTAACTGAACACCTCCCCTCTACATTGCTGCTCATAAAGTGAATTTAATTCTCTTCCTAAGGAGGAGAATTCCCGTGGGATGGGAGGCAGCAGCCTGCTCTTGGTGCTCCCTGGCTGGCATCACTGCTGGATTCAGCTTTTTGGTCCTTGCTGTCCCTCCTTCCCCAGGCAGAGCAGGGCGATGCTGTAACGAGGGAGGGATTTATGGCTCGCTCTAAATTTGATTTGTTCCCACAAATGTTGTATAAAAAGGAGCTTGTTCTTTTATTAAACACTGCCAGCCTGAGGGCACGGTTTATACAACATCATTACACCTGGTAGGAACGAGTCAATCCTGTTCCCTTTCAAATGATGGATGGCAGGGGGGTGTATCCAGGAGAAAAGGGTTGTGATGTTCATTCATCCACCAGCTAATGATCATTAGTGGATTTTAATATATTAATTTATATTGTTATGTGTATATATATATATTTTATTTTTTTTTGGTTGTATACTGGATTGGGCTCTGACTAACCTGTTCTAGTGGAACATTTCCTGAGTGTGGAATGGGGTTGGAGCTAAATGGTCTTTAAGGTGCCTTCCAATCCAAGCCTTTCTGTGATTCCATGATTTTCTCTGATGGATCCCCACACCCCCTCCTCTCCCTTCCACTTAATTACCTCTGCATTCACTCACCACCTCTAAACTGCCACACACAACACTGAACGCAGAATTAACTTCTTTTAGTGCCTATAACAGAATTAAACCCAAGCTTAAGCAGGGCAGGCTTCAGTTATTAATCCTCCCATGAGCAACTATAATTATTTTTGCCAGCACTAATTTCATTTGCATATGCATTGTGAAGTTGCAGATCACAGGGAAGCAAGGGGGGCAAGGGGCTCTTGCTGAATGAAGCAGCGCTGTCAAAGCACAGACTGGGGGGAGCCAAGTGTGATTTAAAGGAGGGGAAAAGCAGCAATGCACTGCCATAAAGAGGCAAATTAACCACTCAGAGTGTTTCTGATCCCTGTTTGCCAGAGGATTCCTGGGAGAGGTGCCTGTCCTACATCTGTCAGGAGCGGCTGGGTTTGACAGGGAAGGTGACAGGGTGGTGGGGCTGAGCAAACACAGCTCAGTGTCTGCTTGCAGCCCCAGCAGAAAGAACCACAAAGAGCTTCAGTTGAAGATGGGAAGTCAGTTTTATTGGACTTTGCCTCTCCTCAGGAGTGCTCAGAGCTCTGAGGTGATACAAACACCTGAGTGCTGGACAAGGCACAGAACAAGATTTCATTTGGGCCATTGGATGTGCCACAATTTTTTTCCATCACAACTTTTTAGGAGACTTCAATCTGTGTCACTGTGCTTTGTTTTGCAGGTTGTTGTGGCCTTGGCTGTCAGAGTGTGGGGGTTTGTTGGCCATAATTCCTCTTCCAAGCCGAAAAAAAGCACTCACGTAAGTCAGCTCAGATGGTTCTTCCTTTCCCTCCTTTTTCACAACTTATTTTTGGGTGCTAAAGTTGTCACTACCGGTTGGATGGGACAACACAGGCTTGGCGTTTTCCTCCTGCTGTGGTAGAAGAAGTAATTTCCATCATTTTTTTCTTGCTGGGATTTGCCTGGAAAATTAAATATCTGTGGCAGCTGGTGAAGGAAAGGTTTGGGAAGGGCTTGGGTTGGCTGATGTGTGTCCACCTTTGCCCCTGTGGGCTGTAGAGCAAATAACCAGACCTTCCCTTTCCCTGGAGCCCTGGGATTCATGGATGTCTCTTCAATTCTTGCTGGGATTTATATCTGGCCAACAATCTTAGCAGCTGGCTCAGTTTTCTGTGCTCAGGGATGACCTCGAGCAGCTCTGAGGCTCAAAAATGGAGTTTTTGTTGCTACAAATGCAACAGTGCTCACCAAATCTCTGCAGGGCGCCCAGGGAGCACTGTGACACTGAGACACTGTAAAATATTATAAAAACATTATAAAATATTATAAAAATATTATAAAAATAGGAATTTTAATAAGGGAGAAATTGCCAAGAGCTGGGGAGCAGCAGTATCTCAAAGCCACAGCTGGGAGTTGCACAAAGCTTTTTTCTTGCTCAACAGGCAGAGCAAAATAAATTTATTTTATTAATGGAAATCTGTTTTTTCAATAATAGAGCTCAGAAGGCAGAGGGCAAGAAAAGGGAATGGTCAACTTAAGTTCTTAATGCACAGCATTTTAAACTCTTCCTTTTTTTACAAATGTTTAATTCATCACTAAATATTCCTTCATTTAGAGCTGCTGAAACTGAGTCAGAAATAAGAAATCCTCCAAGAGCTTGGTCCATGCAGTCATAAATATTCCATGTGATTTGTGTTTAAATCTTCAGTGCTGGACAGCTCTGTACATTTAATATTGAACTCCTGATTCTCCAGGTAGTTTCCTAAACTGGGCTTTATGTGTCAGCCCAGTTCTCCCACACTGGGTCTAAGTTTATCCAGTTAATTTGCTCAGAGCCAAATGTTTCACGTCCAGAGAAGCCTTGTTATTTAACTGAACACCTCCCCTCTACATTGCTGCTCATAAAGTGAATTTAACATTAAAATTGATAATAAATAACACATTATTTTTGTCCTAGAGCTCTCAGTGGTCTCTGGAGCTTGTGTCCTTGCAGTCTCCTGTCACAGTGGGAGCAATGAAAGCACAATTATCCCATTTGTCTGAGGGGTTCAAACACAGACCCTCCGTGGGACCCAGATGTTGGGGTGGAAGCAGCTGCTGATGTGAAGGGAAAAAGGGGCAGGAGGCTTGGGCAAGGGAAATAAATGAAAATTGCATTGTGCAGGAGGATGTTCATGAATTTCAGGTGAGGTTTGCCGTGACTGCCTTTGGCTCTGGGATGGGTTTCCACCTTCCAAGCAAACACCCAACCATTCTGCTGCCTCATTCTTGTGGATGCTCATTGTAAAGCAAAGTCCCAGCTTTAACAGCCCAAAGCTCTTTGCTAAGTGGAGAATTGTTCTCAGGCTGAGGAATTAATAGCAAAGTTTCCCTGACAGAAAGAGCCAGGCATTCATCCCACAGCAATTGTTCCCAGAACTGGCAAACACAAATTAAAGCACTTTGCTGCTGCATTTATTTTTTTCTGTGAAGGTCTTTATTTATAACATTTGCTGTTTAGGTTTGAAATCTCAGCCCTGTATATGGTTACACACAAATTACACATGAAAACAAAATGTGACTGGAGACAAGAATGAACATTATCACCAAGAGGAAAGATTGTTTTCAGAAATACATCCAAACCTACCCCGTTTTCTTGTATAGAAACTGATTTTAGCTCCTCAGGACCTTTGTCAGACTAAGTAAAAAGATGTTCTGGCATTGACTCTTTTGTGCTGAGGGCTTTTCCTGCTCTTCAGGGAAGGAAGAGGCTGCACCCTGAACATCTCCAGAGAGCCACGCGTGCCAAGGGCCAGCGCTGGGTGTGAAGCACCATCCTCAGTGCCTGGAGAGGGCACAGGAACACTCTGACCATTCATAAAGGGTTCTTTGGAAACCTCTCCAACACAGCTGAAGTGCAAAAATTACTTCAAGTGCTCACAAACTCCACCTGTGGGGCCATAACTCAGCTGAGACCAAGAGCTCCCGGTTCCTCCACAGTGAGTGGGAGCAGTTCGGTCCCACCACTTCCAATGACTTCAGAGTGAAAGGAAAGTTATTTCAAAGTAAGTAAAACATTTTCACCAGTGAAAAACTTCCTCCCAAGGTCTAATTCATGGCTTGAATGAGCTCCCTAGAGCAGAGCTCACTGAGGTGTCTGCTGGTGAGGGGAGAGGGGAGCAGCTTTGGTGGCAAACCTGGTTTTGCTGTTGCCTTCTGTTTAACTTCAGTGTGTGCTGTTATGTGATGGAAGTAGAAAAGTGCATCTGAAAGCAGCAAATATGAAAGGTACCAGTACATTAAAATGATACCAGGTGAATGCTGCAGGAGGAGGAGATTCCTGAGCCAGGGACTGAGTCGCTTCTGACGAGGTTTAAACTGAGCAAGTGACGGGAGTTCAACATCTGCATTTTTGTTCTTCAGTGACAGAGGCACTTGTTTCATTTTGGACCTGAAATAACAATTAAACAAGCTTTTCTACTTCTTGCAGGAGTCAGTTTTTCAGACCATTTTAATGAATGTGTATTTGTCTAAAAGTGATGAGGCCTGGGAAGGATCTGGTGCTAAAGCACCTTTATTTCCCTAACTCGAGGTGTCGAGGCAGCAGAGAGAGCCTGTCTGCCCTGCTTAGGCTGATCTAACCAGGAACCTGAATTCAGCTGACACACAGATGACACCCACACCCAGCCCTTCCCTTCCACAGTGTTCCCATCTGTTCCTGAGGGGAGGAAAGGAAAATCAGGTTGGTTTTGTTGCTGTTTTGCTCAGGAGGGAGCAGGCTCTGCTTCCTCCAGGTGCAACATTCATCTACCAAAGCAGATTTATTTTCCTTTTTAACATTCAGAATTTAGTGTGGGGTTTGAGGGATTTTGTCCCTGTGGTGCTGCAGGGCTTTCAGCATCCCCTGCTGGAAATTCTTCATGGATACCCAGGTCCAGGCACCTGTGGATGGTGGCTTGGCCGTGTCACCTCCACCTGCTCAGGACTGAGGGGCATGAGTTGGTCATGGGTTTAACAAAACCACAAAATAGCCCAAAATCAAGGGATTTCCAGGGGCCTGGGAGGTCCTGCAGCCCCAGCTCCCCCTGTCCCCAGCACAACCTCAACGTGAGGATGGGGAGAGCAAATCTGAGGAGAGACTTGGGAACATCCCACTGAAATTCCTCTCTGCTGATGCCCAAATTTGCAGCACAGGGAAAATCACGGCATTTATACAGCACTGAAGAAAATAAACCAAACTTTATATTCCTAAACTGTTAGAGCTGAAAATCCTGGAAATGCTTGTACACTTAAAAAATCCAGGATTCCATTTCTGTATTTTTCTGATTGTTGCTGCACTTTCAGATGCTCTCATTTCACAGGTGGAAATTGGTGATGAGCAGATTAAGGGATTTCCTACCACCTGTGGAGTTATTAGAAAGAGCAGATGCTGGTAATGCTGGAAAGAGAATTCTAGCTTGGAATTTAGACTTATTTTATTTGCACATTTCTGAGGAATGGAATACATGTGACTCCTAATTATCTCAGTTATTAGGAAAGGAAAGCTTTAAGGGAACTGGCCCCAAGACTGTGTCCTGTTAATTCTAAATGTAAAATAATTTCTCTGATGACAATGAAAAACTTCACAGTAATTATGGTGGCCCAAGAGAAGAAATTACTGTGCAGTCTCAAGTTATCAGACAGCTCCAACCTTTTTTAATATCACAGAAATGCTTAGGCTTCATGCAAGAAAAGCAAAATACCCCAAGGTAGTCTAATTTCATCTCCCAACAAACAGAAATCTTTTTTCTGTGGATGCAAATCACATTTTTATTACAGTGAAGAGCTATGTGTACTGTATTTATTTTATTTTTTTCTTCTTTTAACTCATTGGAAACACAGCTGATGTAATTGGACAATTGATGTAACTGCAAATGCAATTGCAGTAATTGCACATGCAAATAAGGGATTGTTCTCAGGGCTATAAAACTTCTGGGAGCAGGTACAATGTCCTCCTGCATTGCCTGGCACATAATTGTATGGGTATTTTGCACCAAGGCTTTTATCCAGCTCCTACCTCCTTATTTATTTGGGAACAGCTCCATTCCCTAAATATGAAATATCCTTTACACAGCAAGCAATAAAAATAATGGGTTCCCCATAATACTCAGGGCTGGGAATGCATTATTTCTAAACTGTGGTGCCTTTTACTTTATGGAGAGTGAAATAAACACTTACTGGAGATAAAACCTCATTTAACTCCACAGCCATCGGGACCGTCAGGAATTTTTGCTGGTTCCGATGGCAGTGGGAAGGGAACGTGGCAGGCAATAGTTTATGATGGCTTTTTCAAACCTGCTGTTGCTAATGATAACATTTAAAATGGAATAACTTTTCCTCTCACTCCTTATCTTTCCAGTTTCCTTGGCACCGGGAGCTGCTCTGTGGTAAAATCCTCGTTTGTGTGTGAGGAAAAGCCAGGAGTTTGTGCAGCCCAGGTGTTCCAGAGCTCTGTACCCGAGCTGCTGGAGCTCAGCATGGAGCTGTGCATGCTCAGCTCATTCCCTGGCCTTGGACAATGCCTCTTTTCCTTGCTTTCCCCTCCTTTTTTACACCTGACTGCAGTGGAGGCATCAGCAGTGTTCCAGCAGCTCCAGGCTTTAGGGAACTGGTAGAGCCAGATCCAGGTAAAATGAGCTGAATTCATTGAATTTATTACTTTTGTTGTCTTCTATTCCAGAAGCTCCACATCTGCTAGGAAAGGAAACTATGGATTTATGAAGCAAATAAAACCTGGGATATCATTGTTGGTAAAATCCAGTGGCACTGCAGGAATAAAATAAAAATCCCAGTGATGCCCCCTGACATTTGAGAGGGCCAGGCAGGTTTGTGCCGTGGACAGAAACATCCAGGTGTGTGTGGCAGGAAGGGAAAAGGACCTGAGGGAGAACAGGACCACGTTCTTGGCTGTGGGGATCAATAGAGATCAATTACAGTGTACAGGAACTGCTTTTCCATACAATCACAGAAATATCTCCTCAAAATGTATTTACAGCTAGAGGGATCCCCAGGCAGAGCTACAACATTTTATTTCCAACAGTTTGCTAGACCAAGAAAGGGCAGGAAACAATTCCTTCCCATTCATAAAATTATGGTGCAAGGAATGAATTTTTCAGATTAAGCCATCATTTTTGTCCTGGTGTGGTCACTCTGCAGCCAGAATAGCTCCAGGACTGACCCAGGGGTGATGTGAGCCCACTTTTTCCTCACTGGGAGGCCAATTCCTGTATTTGTCCATGTTCCTGCCTCAAACTCCATGTTCCTCATCACTCTCTGAACATTGGAGTGACTCTTGGGAGAATGGTAGAGAAGAGAGAATTGGGTTCCCAAAGGCTCCCTCATAAATCCCTCCCTATATAGGGTGGTGCCCATATGGAAGATCACATGGATTCTTGCTTTGAAGAATTGGCTGCCAGAGTCTGGCTCCCTCAGACTTCTGCTCAATGCAATGTGACAATTCTTGTTCTTGGTGCCCCAAGGTTTTCCCTGCACAGAGCCAGGGGTGGGACCTGCAGGGCAAATTATGCTGGAGATGACCTGGAGGTGGGCAGCTCCAGCTGGTCTGGGCAGGGGAAGAGCTGTGGCACTGCCCTGCCTGAGAGAAATTATTTGCAGGTTCTCGCTCTGTTTAAGCTCCCTGGGAAGGCCCTGCCATGCTTTGTTGAACAAACTCATGTGAGATGGGAACTTGATCTTCACATGACATTTTTAGCTTGATAGGAAGAACCTCTGGCTTAATCTGCTGCACTGAGAGATGGGGATTTATTTTATTTATCAAATTCAAGCACTGTTTTGGGGTTAGTTCTTCAGCTGATGTGCTCCAGTGTGGAACAGTGTCAGATCTGGCAGAGAAATTCTAATGTAACAGAAGGCTTTATGCTTCCCTCATTTCACCTGCTCTCATTTCTTCATCCTAATTTTTCATTGCCATAGAAAGACAATTGTTTTACCTTGGATTGTGTTTATTCTCAGAGTAAGAGCTTGCATTGCTGCCCATGGATTGGGAATGCCACTCCTCTGGATCCAGGGTATCTTCACCCTCCTGTTGAGCTCATTTTTCCATGGAATACCTGAGTGGAACAGTGGTTTGGTTTGGAAGAGACCTCAAAGATGATCTGGTTCCACCCCTGCCACGGGCAGAGCCACCTACCATGGGGCAGGTGAGGGGATGGAGCAGGTGAGAAGGTGAGGGGATGGAGCAGGTGACCAGGTGAGGGGATGGAGCCAGTGACAAGGTGAGGGGATGGAGCTGGTGACAAGGTGAGAGGATGGAGCAGGTGACAAGGTGAGGGGATGGAGCCAGTGACAAGGTGAGGGGATGGAGCAGGTGACAAGGTGAGGGGATGGAGCAGATGACAAGGTGAGGGGATGGAGCAGGTGACAAGGTGAGGGGATGGAGCTGGTGACAAGGATCCTTCACCTCAGGCAGGACAGGAATGCTGCAGCTCCAAACCCCCAGAAGTGTGTGGGGCACAAATGGATGAAATAGGAATGGAAACAATGAAATGTTCAGCACCAAGTGCAGGTTTTTAAAGGAAGGTAATTCCAGCCCTTTGTGGGCCAGAGCTGTTTCTGTGTCACAATTCCCAGTGCTGTCCCTCCAGCAAGCTCTACCTGCACAACCCCAAAGCCAGCCTTGTATTAAAACCGATCCCCCATATGGTGGCAGCCTTTTGAAAGGGATGGGGAGAAACTCCCTCCATTGAGTGCTTGTTTTAATGCAGTCAGAAAGAAAAACAGAGCGTGTGGAATGGCTCTTCTCAAGTCCATGGGGAAAAATGGGCATCTCTGAAGCACTTCCACAGAAACCTGACAGAGGGAGAGGCTTTCTAATTCCTTGCTAACAAGATTATTTTGATTCTTGACCTTATATCAGGACAGGAGTGGTTTTAATCATTTCCATCACTTGTCAAGTGCTCATAACAGTCATAGTCTTAGATAAATATAATTTTTACCTTTGTATAATATTCTTTTCTATTTTCATTAGAGTAAAACTACATGTCAGGCTAAAAAAAAGAGGTGAAATTTCAAATGGGCAGTGCAAACATGCAGTTTTAATGTACTGAGAGATGTAAGGACACAAACCCATAAACACATAACCAAAACCACATATTAAAAATACCAGCTTCATTAGCAAGGTGAAGGCTTTGTGTGATTCCCTCTGGAGAGCTGCCAGTATAACAAAATATAATCAATATTATAAATATAGGACCCCATATAATAACTCAGGTCCCACTTCTGTTATCTGTGTTGTTGTTAATGCCTCAGCAGAGGCTGCACGGTGATGTTGGAAGAGTTTGTTCCTCTGCCCTGAGCCATTTCTGCTGGTATTCAGCAAATTCCAAAATGAGGTGTTGAGCAGAGTTCTCCTTGTTCCCAGCAGCTTCTCAGGAGCACGGAGCCCTGTGCTGGCAGCTCCTCTGCTCTCCCTGCTCCGGGCAGGGAACATCTCTTTGCTGGAGATTAAATCCTGTAAATCAGGGCCATGAACTGGAAAGCACGCCAGGGAAAGTGGGGCTGACTCCTTTAACTGCCCACTGGGCTTTGCTCCTTCCTTCTCCAGGCTTCCAGTGCTGAGGAAAAGTTTCCTGGGAAGTTCTGTCCCGCCGGGGGGGTCTGGGGCTGTCCAGAGGGGCTCTTTGCCAGCCCTGCTCTGATGGAAAAAGGGCTTCCATTTGCTTCAAATTGACTCAGTGCAAGGAAGAGTTTTCTCTTCCCCTTTTCCCTTTGCTGAGTGAGTGCTGCCCAGCAGAATCACTCAGCTCAGATGGGCAGGGACAGCAAAGTCCCAACACCAGGGCAGGGTGACACCGGTTTCCTCCTGGCAGGGAGGAGCAGCCTCTGCTCTGGCATCCAGGGAAATCACCAGGAGAGCTTTTTGAGGGCAGGCCTAGAGCTGTGGTGGCTGGCAGTGTCTTTCTCAGTGCTGCCCTGGAATGACCTGCTCCTGCAAGCTTTTGTGCCCCAGGGAAAAGAGAAGAGGAGGGAGAGAGGAACGTCCTGGTGACCCGCAGGTGTGAGGAGCCCTGGGGCTCC